AATCCCAGTAGGCTGAATAATATTTCACTGAACAATATTTCACTGTACTTTTCCTTACCCATTCACCCTTTGATGGACACTTAGGCTGTCTCCATACTTTGTGGCAGATAACGCTGCAGTGCGTGTGGGGTGTAGATCGCTCCTGAGATAGTGACTTCATTTCCTTTGGGTGTGTGTCCAGGGGCGGCATTGCTGGGTCATATAGCGGCTCTAGTTTAATTTTTTGAGGAAGCTCCATACCATTTTCCACAGTGGCTGTGCCAGCTTACATTCCCACCAACAGTGCATGAGGGTTCCCTTTTTTTTCAACTGACTTTTTTTTTTTTAACTTAGCCTCATCCTAAACAGTAGTAACCCTCAAAGTCACAGCTGTGATGTGCTTGTTCTATAACCTTTTAATGCATATTCAATTCTCTTTTTAAAAATGTATAGCTGTTTGGGGCTTCCCTGGTGGCGCAGTGGTTGAGAGTCCGCCTACCGATGCAGGGGACACGGGTTTGTGCCCCAGTCCGGGAGGATCCCACATGCCGCGGAGCGGCTGGGCCCGTGAGCCATGGCCGCTGAGCCTGCACGTCCGGAGCCTGTGCTCCGCAACGGGAGAGGCCACAACAGTGAGAGGCCCGCGTACCGAAAAAAAAAAAAAAAAAAGTACAGCTGTTAAAATTAAAAGGGTTCAACCATGTACCAGCTAAAGGGGCACACCGCCACCATGCGCTCCTCACACGCTGGTCCCCTGGGTCTGCCAGCACCTGCCCTGCCCTGCCCAGACAGCGAGGCCAAGGCTGGGAGAGTGTGGCCATGTCACAGGGCTTGGGACGTGAGAGATGGCATGTGGAGTCAGCATCCAGGCCTCCTACCGCCAGTGGTCAGCCTGGCGATGGGATCTCAGCTCTACCAGTCCTGCTGTCACCCTGCATGTCACTTTGCCTCTTGGGGCCTGGGTTCCTTGTCTCTGCCGTGGGACGGCAACCCTACTCGACCCCTGCGGTGCACAGCGCCTGCTGTGTGTCCAGCACAGGGCTGGACGGCCCCTTCCCAGCCTCTTCTCCCTACTTGGCTGATAGGAAGGGCATGGGTGTGAACCAGCTGTAGGGGGATCCCGCTTCCCTCCCAGTCCCCGCCAGCCGCTCCCGCCCGGCCTTCTGCCAGCACAGGCCAGTGTCCCTGTGGGCCTGGCCTGACATGCCCCAGCTCAGGAAGCCCGCCAGACACCCTGGCCCCCTTCCCATCCGTCTGGCCAGCCGGACATGGGTCGTCCGGCCTTGTGGACTGGGGCCATGGACCAGTGCCCTGGCTGACCTGGCCAGCCTCAGCCCTGAAGCCACTTCTCCCAAAGTGAGGGAAGAGACTCCCATGTGTTTCCACAGTGGGGAAATGCCCCGTCTGCTCCCAGGAGGTGTGCCTGAGCCGGTGGGGCTTCTTCAGAAGCAACGAGGCTGAGGGGTCCCCTCACCCTCCAGCCTCCAGGTGTGGGAGAACTCAGAGCGGAGGCAAACTGTGCTCGTCTGTCCAGGGCCCTCAGGACCGTGTCACTGTCCCAAGGGCATCCGGGGGCCAGGTGAGCCACGTCCATGGTGGAAATCTGGAGGACCGACAACCCAAAAGTGGCAGAACCCTGCCTGGGTGCCCTGGGGAGTTTCAAGAAGAGAGAAGGTCCAGCCCGCCCTCGTTCGGGGTGCTCTGTGAGAGCTGGGGTGAAGCCTCAGGAATATCCAAGGGGGTCTCAAGTCCCACAATTCCTTGAAGGACGCAGGCACCTGGTCCTTGGACTCCTGGATGCCTTCACTGTCCTTGTGGGAGCCCCATCCAGGCCCCGCCCTGTGTGCCCATGGCGGCTCTCCTCCATCGCCCTCCCCTCCTTGCCCAGGGCCACAGCCTCCCTGTCCCTCCAGGGGCTCTCCACCTCCAGAGCCCCCCAGACACCCTCCTCCAGGAAGCTGGGGCTGATGCCCTGGAGACAGGCAGGTGGGCGGAGCCTGGCTGGACGGTCACCTCCCAGCCCGTCCATTCCTGGCTGTGTGACTCCAGGAACCCGCCTCTCCCTGCTCTGCCACTTCGTTTGTAAACCGAGGACAGAGCCGGGCGCCTGGCAGCACTGCTGTGCATTCAGTGAGCTGCTGTGTGTGAAGCACAGAGTGACTCCTGCTGGGACCAAAGCAGAGCTGGTGGCAGAGAACCGGAAGGCCAGGACCTTAGCGTGGGGTTCAGAAGTCAAGTGGGCATCACGGCGAAAGCCCATTTACGAGGGATGGGCAATGGGGAAGGGAATGGGCCAGAGGCTGGGGCATTCATCCATTCCTTAGACGCTTGTGGACACCTGTGCCTTGCCCAGCCCTTGCGGGCACAGGCGTCCAGCAGTCAGGAATCAGGTTCCTGCTCTCCGGACTGTCTGCCCGGAGTGGGGGGAGCCATCTGCACCCAGGCACCAGGAGGTGACGTCACTGTGACCTCCCTGGCCTCTCACCATCATCTTGGATGTGCTCCTGGGAGCCCAACGCTGGTCTGAGCCCGGAAACAGGGGCCTTCGCTGTGGGGAGGTGCAGTGCGGAGATTATCAAAGCAAGGCCCGATGACACATACAGCAGCGCCTGTAGGGAGGTTTTCACATGCAGATTCCTGGGGCTCAGGATGATTGAATTAGAATCTCCCAGGTGATTCTGACGTCCACTGCAGGATCAGAGCCTCTGAAGTGGGACAGATCACCAGGGGACTTTACATGGAGTGGACGAGGATGTCAAGGAGGATATTGATGCTTTGAGCCTGGTTTTTATTCATGCCTGGAAAGAGACTCTTGCTCTTTACAAAAGCTGGGAATTAGCCATCTGGGTAATCCAAGGGCCCCCTTCAAACCACACGCATCTGCCAGTCCCTGCAGCTAAAAATTGCCCTGCAATTCAGAGGACCCAGCCTGGCCTGCCCTCCCCATGCCAGGCTGAAACAAGAAAGGGCTTGGGGAGGAAGAAGACTGGGGAGGACGGCAGGAGGGAGCTGTAATTCCCCTGCACCCACTGAGTGCCGGGCTTTCCATGTGACATTGATCTCCTCCTCCTCTGGACAACCTCAGGAGGAAGGCATCTGTTTCCCCTAAAAGAGCTGAGTGAGGAACCGGGCTCGGGCAGCGAGTGTGTGGTGAGGCAGATTGGAGCCCAGGTCTGTGGGCCTCAGGAGTCTGGGTTCTCTCTCTGAAGGTTGGGGCTCTGGGTTAGTGTGGTCTGCTCTGTGCTCTCCAAACCAGATGTGGGGTGACTGCTGACCTCATGGGTGTTACCTCAGCTGTATTTCCGGTCTGCTCCAGACCTCCCCGGGTGATGCCCTCCCAGGTGGCATGGGCCCCCAGAAGCCTGTCACAGGAGCAAGTTCCCTGGCTTTGTTCCCCCGGGATCCAACTTGGGAGAATTGGTGGGTGGTTATGTTAAATGATCATTTTTGTTGTTGTTGTTGTTTTTGTTTTTTGGGTTTTTTTTGCGGTACGCGGGCCTCTCACTGTTGTGGCCTCTCCCATTGCGGAGCAACAGGCTCCGGACGCGCAGGCTCAGCGGCCATGGCTCACGGGCACAGCCGCTCCGCGGCATGTGGGATCTTCCCGGACCGGGGCACGAACCCGTGTCCCCTGCATCGGCAGGCGTACTCTCAACCACTGCGCCACCACCAGGGAAGCCCTAAATGATCATTTTTAACAGAGTATAATCATAACTCACGGGCAAGTGCAAAATGAATACCTGCCAAACATTGTCCCTAAGTAATGAGAGAACCAGTAAGATGCTACCACTGGCTCACAGGAGAATTCAAAGTACTGTACGTATAAGGCGGTAAAATGAATTTACAAATAGATGCAAAACTGGCTGAAAACAATTCTGTATAAATTGTAGATAACTGATAGCCATGCAAATGCAAAGGAAGAGATAGAAATGTGGATTCAAATGCCTTTGGACAGGACATCAGTTGTCTACAATTTATAGAGTTGCAAAATAGCTCAAGGACGTAAAAGGCCAGAATCAGGTAACCCAGAAGGCTGTGATTAGACAACGCCTAGTTTTGCCTTGAAGACACCTGATAGTCTTTTCACTTCAAAGCCTTTCAGTCACCAGAAGTGGGCCACAGATCTGGCTCTAAGCTTCCTAGCAGCCAAACAAGGCAAAAAGGAAACAGCCTCAAATTCAGTGTCTATAAGGACAGCTGTATAGTAGTTGTTCACCGTAAGTCCAGCTTCGCGGTGCCTTGAGACCATGTTCTCCTTCAGGGGTGGGGCGGGGGCCTCGTCAAGGGAACCCAGTGCGGTGAAAGCAGCATCCTCAGTGACGTTCCTACCACAAATGCAGTGCTGCTTCCATAGCCAAGGCAGCGGTTCTCAAAGTGTGGTCCCAGACCAGTAACACCAGCCTCCCCTGGGAACTTGTTAAAAATGCAAATTCTCAGGCTCCACCAAGACTTTGGGGGTGGGGTCCCAGCCATCTGTGTTTTAACGAGCATTCTGGATAATTCTGATACGAGCTGAAGTCTGAGAATCATGGGACAAAGTTCTCAACCCTGCCATCACGGTAGAATGACCCAGAAAGCTTTAACACCGCATCATGCCTGAGCGCCACGCAGGACCGATGAAATCCGGCTCCCTGGATGTAGGGCCTGGTTAGGTATGTTTTTAAAGCTCCGCGGTGGTTGTACTGTGCAGCCAGGCTGCAGGCTCACTGCCATGGAGTCAGTGGGTGCGAGCAGAGGCCAGGAGATGCTCCATCTTCTGCTCCGGAGGAGCCCAGCCCTGCCCTTGCGAGGCTTATGTGAGACGGCGTGTCCCTGTGTGTCTGCAGCACCGAGCACTCACCATGTAGATGCCGAGGCCACCGCCCCAAAGGTGACAGGGCCCATTAGACACCGCGGTTCCTGGTCCCGGGAGCACAGATAGTGGGGACGCCCAGGCGCGGGTGCTGGGGCTGGTGCCACAGTGCTGGGGAGGCCCTGCGTCCACGCTGCGCCCCGTCTGACTCCGCTTCTCTCCTTGTCAGGCTGCCAGGGGCTGTGGGACAACACGAGCTGCTGGCCCTCCTCTGCGCTGGGACAGACGGTGGAAGTGGCCTGCCCGCGGTTCCTCTGGATGCTCGTGGGCAGAAACGGTAACCGCTCAGCCCAGGGGCCCAGCTGGGAGGCTGTGGGGCGGCCCTCTGGGTGGGCCTGGGCCTGGCAGCCTGAGGCCGAGGAGACTTCTCTGGGGACAAGGAGTGAGTAGAAGGGTGGGGGTGGTCCTCGCTGGGGATGGGAAGCCTTGACTGGGGAGGTGTGGTGTGGCCTCAGTTGTCAGGGCGCCAAGCAAGGGGGCCGGGGGCCACATACTGGGGAAGTGGTGAAGGAGGCCAGGCCTGCTTCTCCCTGCCCGGTGCCCTCTTCAAGAGGCTCCCCTCCTCCCTTCCACGCTTCTGCCCCCTCAGCCCCCGGGGCCCTCGCTCCAGCCCTCGTTTCTGGCTCACACCGGGCCCAGGCTGGCCTTCCAGGACACTTACTTCCTCTGTGCCCTCTCTGCCAGGCCCTGCTGGTGAACTCTGCCCTCCCTGGAAGATTCTGACAAAGCTGTAGTTTATAAGGGTTCCCTTAATTTCAGGCAAGGGAGCGAGGATGTTGTCTCGGGGGACACGCAGGGACGAACACTGGCTAAAGCCCTGTCACGCGCCAGGCATGTTTAGAGACGTGAGCTCGTTCAGTCATCACAAAGCCCCTGCAAACCACAGACCTTTTCCCTGCGCTTGACCCAGTTCAGGAGTAAAAGTAGCAGCGTCGAAGAGGGCTTTAGCCCTTGGCCTCAGGTTCACGGCTGGGAGGTGGAGAGGCGGGGACTGCCGTTTCTCCTCTCTGCCACACGGTGTCGCTGTGGGGCCGCAGGACCGGCCACCCGCCCGTCGGCACGGAGGCGGTGCCCCTTGGCTGCGCTGCCTGGCGTCCGGGGCTGGGTGGGGGGATCATCTCAGCCTGGGTCCCACTGTGCTCATGCCCAGCAGCAGGTGCAGGGCATCGGCCAGCCCAGGAGCGTAGGTCGGGTCGGGACAGTCCAGCCTCAGTTACCGAGAACCATCCTCCCGTGGAGACACCTCGGGTCCGGAGTCCGGGGGAAGGCTTCTTGGTGGTGTTCCAAGGGTTCCAGGTCTCCCTAGCCAAAGCAAGGAAGGAGCACCCAGTGAGGACAAGCTGGCGCTCCAGACCCTTCCTTTTGAAAGAAGAAAGAAACAGAATAAGTGAATTCTTTCTCAGGGCACCCGCTACGTGGGCCCAGACGGAATGAGTGTCTGTGTGACTGGGGAAACTGCAGGCTGGACTCTGCCTCCAGATATTTGTCTGTCTGTGCCAGGGCCTAGAATGTTCTATCTAGGGTGCATTCCTTTGATGCTTAAAAGGGCGCTGGTCTTCCAGAGTTCCTTATTAAAAAGCACACTTGCTGAGTGGGGTCAGGCCTTGGCGTTTTTTCCCTTCTACCTTGGTGGGGATGGGAGCCTTATAGCAGCAGAGATTCCTAACCTGACAAGGGTCCTGGGGGCTTTTGAGAATCAGATAAAAGCTTTGGCCTGGCTCTTCCCCAGACTGCACACACATATACGTATATGTGAACAGAAATGCTGACTGTAGTTTTGGGGGCCCTTGAGGTGTTCATTGACCTGAACTTGGGGCAGAATCCCTTACCTATTAGGAATTAAACCCAGGGGAAGTGGGTGGGAGGAAGGGGCTACAGAGGGAGCCCACCCCTTGTCTCCTCTGCAGTTCTACTAAGAGCCCTGTCAGCAGAGGGCACTGCCTTGTTTACTGCTCTGGGCACCTGGCCTGGACCACACGCAGCAGCATCTTGGGAATCCTGTGGGGTCTGTGGAGAGAGGCCCCTGGACAGGCAGCCTGGCCTCCAGGGACACGCCGTCTGATAACTGCTTTTGGATTCCAGGCAGTGTGTGTGCTTTTAATTCGGCCTTCTCATCCAGCCAGTGTACCTTTGACCACCGTTCTTTCCTCTCTGACAGCCTAGCTTGTTTGATATAATTATAGAAACCTTCCACTCATCTCCTAAATTCCAAGACTCCAAGCCCCACCGTCCTGGTCCTTTTTTTTTTTTTTTTTTTCAGTACACGGCCTCTCACTGTTGTGGCCTCTCCCGTTGCGGAGCACAGGCTCCAGACGCGCAGGCTCAACGGCCATGGCTCACGGGCCCAGCCGCTCCGCGGCATGTGGGATCTTCCCGGACCGGGGCACGAACCTGTGTCCCCTGCATCGGCGGGCACACTCTCAACCACTGCACCAACTGGTCCATTTTAGAAAGGCCAAGAGCAGAAGGGAAGTAGCCCTGTGGCTCCCACTCTGTCTGGCACCAACCTGAGTGACATCCGTGTGCTGTCGTGTTTCCTGACGCGTCCTGCAGTGTGGGTGATTATTCCCATTTGGCACAGAGAAATGATGCACCTAAGGGTACACAGCAACAAAGAGCCAGTGCTGGGTTTCGAACTCAGATCTAGCTGGTTCTAAACCAGTGCTCCAGGTCTCATGAGCCGTCCTAGACCTGGCACGCCTAGAGCCCGAAGGCCACGGTCTCCTGCTAGAGCTGCCCCTGGGACCTCAGGGAGAGGGCCAGGCAGGAGGGCCGTGCAGTGATGGGCCACATCCTGGCTGCACACTGTTGCCCAGTTCTGGGCCTTGGTTTTCTTGTCTGTGAGATAGGTCAGCAGCACCGCCCTCAGTGGGGCGCTGTGAGGATGAGATCAGGATCAGTACATTAGCCTAGCGGCTGGTTCTAGAAATGCCCACCATATTTCTCCAGCTCAGTGGAACCCTGAGAGCCAGTGGCCCTGTCAGAGAGGAACACACCAGGCCCAGCTGGGGTGGCTGGGGGCCCTGGACAGGATACTGATTAGAGCAAAAGGAGCAGCAGGGCCCCTCTGTACAGGGTCAGCTCCCTGCACCCCTGCAGCCTCCACAGCAGCCAGACCCGGGGACCGGAACACGGCCCTCCTCGGCAGCCCGGAGAGGAGGGTGCAGCCGGGCCGGTCAGGGCAGGCAGGGCAGCCCCCACTGCTGTCCCAGACTTCCTTCTTGGCCGACAGCTCCTCTACCCCAGTCTTTGGGCTCCTGTTCTAAGAGCTCCTCGTGGGCAAGCTCTTCCCTCTCCTCTTGTAGAAGTGCTTGGAGCAGGCTCTTCATCCCCCCTCATCTGCTTGTCTAGCCAGCCAGCCAGCCTGCAAATGTCTGATGAGCAAGCGCTCTGGGCAGGCCCGGGGGAGCCTTCGGGAACAGTCGTCTGCCAGGGAGGCAGGGGGGCCGTTGTCACCTCCGTGTGGGCCCAGGCTGCAGCCTTGTGCTGGAGGGGTGGGGCGGTGAGCCCCAGGACAGGGAGGGAGGGCTGCGGCTACCTTGTGATTTGTAATGCAGAGAAACGCAGAGGTGTGGCCTGGTGTCATGGTTAAAGAGCTAATCATTCCATCCTCAGGGGTGGCTGCCTGGAGGGCTAGCTCTGCTGGTTTTCAGATTCTGGGGAGCAGGGTGTGAAGTTAGATGTAAAATAGAACTTCTTAGTGCAGAAGTAGGACCAGGAGCCTGAGGAAGGTCCGCTGTGGGCGGGCCTGGGTCCTCACCAGCCAGGCAGATTCTCTGGGGGACCCACCCTTAGATGGCTGCAGGGCCTGCGAGCAGGAAGGCCAGGAGTAAGAAAGGGCATTAGGACAAAGCCTGCGGCCAGGAGTGGAGGCCTGAGCCACGGGCTTCACATCCCAGGGCCCCCATTTATGTGGTATGATTTTGAGCAAGTTATTTAACCACGGGGTGCCTCAGTTTCCCCAGCTGTAAAATGGGTGTAGTATTTACATGTTACAGTACATTTTACTGTAAAAGTAACAGTGCTGGCCTCCTAGTCCTGTTAGGATTAAATGAGTTAATACCCACCACACGCTTAGAACAGTGCCCAGCACGTAGCAGTGACCGTGTATTGTTACAATAGAGCACGGAATTTTATAATTGAATAAACACACAGCTGTTAGTGTGAGATCAACATTGTTTGATTCAAGGTATGTAACCTTCTCTTCTTAAGCACTGCATCCAGCCTCTCTCCTCATAGGAGACACTGCAGTGCCTCCCAGCTTGAAGGTTCTCCGGGGGCACCCAGGGAATCGAGTGGTGACGCTGGAAGTTCTGCTGGGCCTGGGCCTGGGGCATGTGTCAGTCGTCTCCCTCACTGTGGAGCTCGGTGCCTGGCACAGTGGCCGTGAGGCGGGGGCCGGAGGGGTATCGGTGCAGGGCCGGCCAGCTTTGCAGGTCGGCGTATCCGGGAGCCGCGGGTCTGTTCCACGCTCGCACATCTGCTCTAGGCCATCTGCCTGCGCACCTTTCCCACTACTTTTCCTGACTGACTCTTACTAAGGCTCCCAGGGCCAGCTGGGCCAATTGCAGCTGCCTGTGTGGTTCAGAGAAAGGGACAGGGTGACGGAAGGAAGCTCCAGCTGCCCCTCAGACGCGGCGAGGGCACCCGGAGAGCCGGCCTTGGGTCCGGTCCCCACTGCTCACTGCAGGCTGCTTGGCCTCCACAGGTTCCATATTTCGAAACTGCACGCAGGGCGGCTGGTCAGAGACCTTCCCCAGGCCTGACCTGGCCTGTGGGGTCCACGTGAACGACTCCTCCAACGAGAAGAGGGTAAGCCTGCCAACACCTCCCTGCGGGGCAGAGGTGGCTGGGGAGCAGAGAGTGAAGCTGGCTCAGGGTGAGGTTGGGGACCCCGGGCTGCCCCTCTCAGCCCCACACCCCCTTGCTCCCCTGGGCTGGATGGGCCCACTTCCCCGCCCTGGTCCACCAGCCCAGAGGTGATGGTCCCGAGGAGCATGGCACAGTGAGAGCTGCCACGTGCCATCGGGATGCTGGCGTGAAACCCAAAGAGCAGAGACTGGGGCTAAACGCTTGGGGCCCGGTGGTGAGTCTGAACCTGCCTGTGACCTTGGGGGTTGGGGAGGATGTAACTTCTCTGTGCCTCAGTTTCTTCATCAGGGAAATGGGGTTAGTAATAGTCCTGACCTCACAGGCTCGTGAACCTGTAGAAGTGCAGGCAAGGGTGCCTGGCCGCAGTGCCAGCTCCCAAATGTCCCTTCTCAGAGGAGCTTCGGGCTCCAGAGGCAGGAGAGCCTGGCGGTGGGCAGGCCTGGTTTGAGACAGGACGCTGGTGCGGTGGCTCTCTGAAGGGGCCGTCTGGTTCAGAGCCCTTCCCAAAGGAGATTGAGTGGGGCCTGACGTGGAGGATGGAGTTTTTTCTCTCCCAGGTCTTACCATCCAGTTAGGGAAGACACATGAGGTCTTCAGATCCGATGGGAGTAATTTAATAAGGATACCTGTGGTCTTGGAGGGCCAGTGGATGGGCTCTGACCTCTGTAGATTACCCTTTCTGTCACTGACCTATATGAAGACAGGAGGCTTACGTGTATCACGTTTGTAAAATCCATAAGATTAAGAGGGATCATTTGTATAATGGGTGGCAGGACGGAGGTTCGAAAGTGACAGAAATTTCCAACTGGCTTCGTAAGCTAATGTGGCTCACGTAGCTAGGGATGTGGAGAACGGGCATCAGGACCCTTTCATGAGCAGTACCCCAGATCCACCCAGGACCAGGTTCTTTCTGTCTCTCCTCCTGCTAGCCTGGTGGTTTATCCCAAGGCTGGCTCTCTTCCTGTTGTCAGATGACTGCCATTGGTGACTATAGCTGCAGACTCCCCAGGCCTGCCTGTCCAGAAGGAGGGACAGCCTTACTTTTCTTGCTAACAGCAAGAAAGTTTCTCAGCCAGGCCGCCAGCAAGCCTGTCCTGACATCTCACTGGCCCCACGTGACTTGAGCCTGTCCACCTCCAGACCATCCCTGGCAGAGGGTTGGGACACGTGCTTGGCTTGGACCAGCAGTTCTCAAACTTTTTGGCCTCGGGATCCTTTTACACCCTTGGGAGTTATTGAGGACCCTAAAGAGCTTTTGGTTTTGTGAGTTATGTATATGAAAACCACATATAAGAACTGTTGGTTTAGACTAATCCGCTGGGTGGGAACGGAGCCCAGGGCCTTAACCATGTTATTCATGGTTGAAACTGTAAAATGCCAGAAGAAGGAGCAGAGATTTAACAAAGATAAATGCGGGCTTCCCTGGGTGGCTCAGTGGTTAAGAATCTGCCTGCCAATGCAGGGGACATGGGTTCGAGCCCTGGTCCAGGAAGATCCCACATGCCACGGAGCAATGAAGTCCATCACCACAACTACTGAGCCTGTGCTCTAGAGGCCGTGAGCCACAACTATTGAGCCCGCATGCCACAACCACTGAAGCCTGTGCACCTAGAGCCCGTGCTCCACAACAAGAGAAGCCACCGCAGTGAGAAGTCCACACACCGCAACCAAGGGTAGCCCCCGCTCACCACAACCAGAGAAAGCCAGCATGCAGCAACGAAGACCCAACACGGCCAAAAATAAATAAAATAAATTAAAACAAAGATAAATGCAAAGTTCTGGACTTAACTCAGAAAATTAGTTGTCTAAAATAGTAAAAAGATGACCTACCGTGGCTTCAGCTCACATAAAAAAAAAAAAATCCCTAAGACTGGTGGAAGGGTTTCCAGACCATGTGATTCACTGGTCCTTAATTGTCAGTCCACAGACAAGCACAGACTTTGTCTTTTTTTTTTTCTTTTTGGTTGTGTTGGGTCTTTGTTGCTGCACGTGGGCTTTCTCTAGTTGCAGCGAGTGGGGGCTACTCTTTGTTGCGGTGAGCGGTCTTCTCATTGCGGTGGCTTCTCTTATTGCAGAGCATGGGCTCTAGGCGCTCTGGCTTCAGTAGCTGTGGCTCGCGGGCTCTAGAACGCAGGCTCAGTAATTGTGGTGCACGGGCTTAGCTGCTCCACGGCACTTGGGATCTTCCTGGACCAGGGCTCGAACCCGTGTCCCCTGCATTGGCAGGCGGGTTCTTAACCACTGCACCACCAGGGAAATCCAGGGCTTGTGGGATCTTAGATCCCTGACCAGGGATTGAACCCAAGCCCTTGGCAGTGAAAGTGTGGAGTCCTAACCACTGGAATACCAGGGAATTCCCACAAACTTTTTCTTTTATTCTGAGAATTGGATCATCCTTTCTTAGTGTTGAAATGTCTTTTTCTCTTTTAATCAAATGATGGTGAAAGTATATATTTGTTGGTTGTCTTTTTGCAACTTCCTGACTTGGCACACACCAGTTGCCAACAGTGGACTCAGATCAGCAGAAAGACCAGGCAAAGCTGCCACTTGGGTAAAAAAAATGGAGTTTGCTTACCCAGAGCAGAGGTTAGAAAACTAGGACCCTTGGGCCAAATCCAGCCCACCATCTGCTTTTGCAAATAAAGATTTATTGACACACAGCCACACCCATTTGCACCGAAAGGGCAGAGTTGAATAGTTGCAAAAGAGACCAAATAGTACCCAAAGCCTAAAATGTTTTCTGTCTGTCCCTTTATGGAAAAAAACGTCTGCTGTCTCCTGATGTAGAGGATAGAGAAGGAGGGGGCCCAGTCGAGACACACAGCAGAGAGATGGGCAGCTTGATCCAGGACAGGCAGCAGCCCTCTGGGGGGCAGGGGGTGCACAGCTGCAGAGGTTGAGGCCTGGGGCACTGTGGTCACATCTGGCTTCCTGGGAACAGGGCTCTTTTGGGGTCAGATCTTACAGACAGAGGCAGAGCAGGCCAGGGCATCCTGAGGGTACCCCGGTAGACAATAACCCAGCCACAGGACAGCACGGGATGCTCAGCCAGGACTCTGCATGCTTGTCACCCCATGCCTCCTCACGCTGCCACAGGCTAACCCGATGTGCTCCTGACCTGGGGCTGCAGATCCAGGCGTCCCCGGGGTGAGGCCGACGCACTCAGCTGTGGGGCACATCCCACACGTGATGACATCCTAGGCTGACACATTGGTCCTCCGATTTTTTGACATTTCACTGCTCTTTGACGTCCCTACATCTAGGAACCATTCATCCAATGCAACTTACTGCCGTTGTGGCTCCCCGCTTGTTGCTGAGAGGTGGCTTCTGGCTTCTGGAATTGCAGTCACCTCAGTGCAGAAGCACAGGGTCACATGGCAGGCAGCCCGTCAAAGCTTCCCTCTGCTGCCAGGAAACTTTCGGTCGGTCTGAGTCCTGTCGACTTTGTGCTTACTCCCCTACCCCTGGGGCTCACAATTAAGTCTCAGGCGTTTTGGTACTCAGCTTCCCTAAGCTTGTTTGTTTCCTTTAGGGTGCAGTGTAGCCAGTTCAGATGACAGTCACCTTCCTCCGGAAATGCTCCACTTTACTAATGCTCCTCTTAAAATAACATACCCAGAACTGGACCAAACACTCCAGACATTCCAACGTGGCCTGCTTCACAGCACTCCATTAATGTAACTGAGAAGAGACCTAATAGTCCTAGCAGCTACCTCATACCCATACCTCACACCGGCAGTGTCAGACTGCTGACTCAGACTGAATGGTGGTTGGGGGGGTAGAGGGTGGAGATGGGGAAGAAGCAACATGTGCTGAGTGTCTTCCAAGTGCCAGGCACTGTCTAGATACGCTACCTGATACCCTGTTTGTTCTTCCAAAATGCCTGCACGGTAGATATTATCCCCATTTTGCAGATGAGGAATCTGAGGCTCAGAGAAGTTAAGTAATTTGCCCAGGGTCACACAGCTGTTGAGTAGTAGCAGTCCTGGGTTTGGAACCCTTGTCTCTTGACTCTGAAGCCTGTGCATGTTCTCTCTGCATACACTTCTTTAATGCCATGGAGCTTGGGCCACTCAAACCTCAAAGTCATTTTCATATGAACAGCTGTCAGGTTTCCCCAATAGTATTCTTGTGCCTGTGGTTCTTTGTTTTTTATTACCCTTTTCTTCTAGTTATAAGATAGTACTTACCCATTGAAGAAAAATGAAAAGTACAGAAAAAAATACAAATGAAAATAACGACTCTATCCACAAGTTTATACTCCAAAGTTAACCACTAATAATGTCTAACACACCTCCTCACAGTCTTGTTTCTGTGTGTGTATGAGACTGAACCACATGAGATGGCCAATATGCAGTCTTTTTCGATGTACAGAAAAGGACAGTTTCATACAATTCAACCTAACACTTTTTTTTACATAAAGCAGAAATCACACTGTACATGTAAAGTTTGTATTCTGCCTTTTCAGTTGACATTACATTATGTCCTGACATCTTTTAAAACTCTTGGTAAGCACACTTTTTTAATGTAGTCTAACCTTTGGATTTAAAAGAATTTAGTTAACTATTCTTCTGTTGTTGGACATTTGCGTGTTTTTCATCAAAAATGGTCCTGTGATAAACATCTTTATATCTGAATATGCTTTTATATTTCTGATAATTCTTAGAATTAATTCCTAGAGGTAGAGGGGTGGTCAGAAGGAATGCATGTTTCAGAGGTTCTTGATACATGCTACTTTCCAGAGAGACTGAACCAATTTTCACTCCCACTATACCTTCACCTACATAGAACATTAGTACTTTTAAATATTTGTTAATTTGGTTAGTAAAAAAAAAAATGGTATGGCATTATTGCTTTACTTTTTATTTTCTTGATTCTTTTTAACGTAAAATAGCTAGCTAGTGGGAAGCAGCGGCACAGCACAGGGAGATCAGCTTGGTGCTTTGTGACCGCCTAGAGGGGTGGGATAGGGAGGGTGGGAGGGAGGGAGATGCAAGAGGGAAGAGATCTGGGAACATATGTATAACTGATTCACTTTGTTATAAAGCAGAAACTAACACACCATTGTAGAGCAATTATACTCCAATAAAGATGCTAGAAAAAAAGATTGTTGTACAATTTGGTTTCCATTCCATTGAGATCTTCTTGAATCAAAGATGAGCCAATAGTGTGAGGTGGCTGCTGAACAAGCAACTGACTGCTTGGCTGCATTTATAAGAGCGCAGTGTATAGATCAGGGGAAGTGATGGTCCCACTCTATTTCTTCCTGGTCAGAGAATGCATCTGGAGCTTTTCAGCTATCTGGTTCTGGGTGTCTTGTTTAAGAAGGACATTCACAAACTGGAGCATATTAGTGGAGAAAAATGGTGAAGGGTTATGGAAAGAGATTAAAGACACAGGGAATATTTAATGCCCAGACGATAAGTGGGGGACAGGTGGGCAGAAGAATTGTATTCAGAAAGGACAGGCCTCTCTGTAGAATCTTTGTGACTTTTCTATAAGTCTAAAGCTATTCTACGTGAAAAATTTATTTTTAAAATAAATATGGGCTCTAGGTACAAGACAAATTCAATTTATTTTCAGTGACTCCAGAAGAAGAAAAGGGACCAATAGGTACAATTTAAAGGTAATAGGTTTTAGATTCACTTGAGAAAAAATTATCTAATACTTTGCACTGTTGTATACCCAGTGACTTCTTCAAAAAGCAGTGAGTGCCTCATCCGTGGAGGTATTCAAGCAAAGGCTTGAATTCAGGGTGATGGTCAGGGGCCCTGTGTACGGGATAGAATTTTGAACTGGTATCAGATGATCCCCAAGGTCTTTTCCCAAGCCAAGATGTCGTGAGTCTATGAATGTGTGTCCTTGGGGTATGAACAGAATAGCAGTCAGAGTTGAAGGGGCTTCGGCAGCCTGGAGCAGGTGCACTCTGTGGCAGAAAAGGGCAGGTTCAGCCAGGTGGGTGGGTGGGGCTGACACGGCCCTCTCTCTCTGCAGTACGAGTACCTCCTGAAGCTGAAGGTCATGTACACCGTGGGCTACAGCTCCTCCCTGGTGATGCTCCTGGTGGCCCTTGGCATCCTCTGTGCCTTTCGGTAAGAACCTGCTGCCAGCTCTCCATCTTCCCAGCCTTCCCCGGCACAGACTTCGGGTCTCTTTTAATTGTTCTGACCAGAGAGAGGAAGGTCTGGGTGGGCCACTTTGTCCCCTCTTGATCTAAAGCTTACCTGTGGCAAAACTTGGAAGTTTTTGTGACCTCGTTCATTCCTTTATTCATTTGACATTTACTGAACATAACTAGAACTTACTGCACCAGTTGCTTTACATGTATCATTTCTGATTTTCACACAATGCTGTGAGATAGGTATCATCCCCATTTTACAGGCATATTAGCCAGACTCTTGGTTGCAAGAAACAGAAATCCGCCTTAAAGCACCTTAAGAAAAACAAAGGTGACCTGATGCACACAATTGACAAGTTCAGGGGCACCTGGCTTTAGGTGTGCCTGGATCTAGGTGCTCCAAGGTATCAGCAGAACTGGGTCTGTCTCCTGCCATTTCTTCACCTTGCATTGGCCTCAGGCAGGCTTTACGCAGGGCTGGCACAGACAACCACCAGCAGCTGCAGACGTACATTCTACCAGCTCAGCGACACCAGGGCCAAGGACCCCCTTCTTCATTAGTTGCAATGAAAAGTCCTGGGGGAATTCTCATTGGCTGGCTTGGGTCACATGCCCAGCCCTGAGCCAATCACTGTAGCCAGGTGTGGAGCTCTGATTGGTCAGGTCTGTCATGAGGGTGGGGGTAGCGTCATCCCCAACCAGAGATGGGATGCGTTCCCCGAAAGAAAGCCTTGTTCCTGAAGCGGAAGGAGGGGAACGGTTAAGAGACTTCTGCCCCTACAGCAAGGGGGAAACCTAGGCTCTGGCTGGTGAAGGGCTTGCTCTAGATCGTGTAGCTGAAAAGTGGCAGAGCCCGGGTCTGATTTCCCCCCACAGCCTGTGTTCTTTCTGTGCCACTTGCCCCCTTCCCCACCCCCTTCTGACAATTCTGGGAGCTGGAGGTGGTCGGAGCAGAATAGGATCTCGCCCTTATAACCCCAGCTTTTTTTTTTTTTTTTTTTTAATTGCAGCATGAGACAGAGTAGGCTGGGCACCAGGGGGCCTGGGCTCATTCAGGTTCTGCAAACAGGGAGATTTAGAGAGCTGTCACGTCCAGGGCCTGGGTTTCCGTGGTGCGTGGAGGTGGGGGGAGGGTGGGCGGCTGAGCCCTGGGCCTCTCCGGCTCTGGCCCCTACAGCCCTGCATCCTCTCCCTCCAGGAAGCTCCACTGCACCCGCAACTACATCCACATGCATCTCTTTGTGTCCTTCATCCTGCGTGCCCTGTCCAACTTCATCAAGGATGCCGTGCTCTTCTCCTCCGACGACGTCGCCCGTTGTGATGCCCACAGGGTAACACGCCTGCGTGGCCCACGGCGTGGCCAGGCCTGCCTGCTCCCCCGCTGCCCCCGCTGTCCCTGCTGAGGCTGCACTTAATGCCTAGAGTAAAGGGGCCAGCGCTGGGGAGGTTCAGGGAGTCTCATGTCCCCAGATGCACAGTCTGGGACCCACATGAAAGCAGTTTGTCGAGAAGCCCATGGGGCTGCTGTTCAACTCCCAGTGTCCTGGAGTGGATTAGCCATTCTGGGAATTAGACACATAGCAATCCCCCCCCTTCCCTGCTCCTGCCAAGTCCCAAATGTAGACAGATAGCTAAAGCTAGAGGGTTGGGATTATAGAAGGAAAAAGGTGAGCATATGCTTATGTGTCTGCATATGCTTGTGTGTCTGCACACCCAGATGTGCAGTAGAACAGTCGTTTTGTTAAATCTAACCCTCGTCCTCCTTCTGAAAGCTCAGATGAGTCTTCTTTCATTGCAATGTCACTGGGTACCAGTTGAGGATCCCTTTCGCTGTACGTAACAGAAAACTGTACATCAGTGCCTTAAACGGATGGGGGTTGTTCTCCACAGAAGCAGTCCACAGGTGGGTGACCCAGAGGTGGCACTGGCTCCATGCCATGATGGACACAGTCCTTTCCCCTTTCTGCTCTGCCATTCTTGATCCCATGTCCCATGCTTTACACTGCATGTTAACAACATGGCTGCTGCAACCCCAAGCCTCACATCCATGTCCCAGGCAAAAAGCAGGAAAGTCAAGGTTGAACTTTTTTTCTCTTTGGGAGGCTTTGCCTCTTCCCAAGACTATGTCTACATCTCACGGGCTAGAACTGTGTCATGTGACAACATCTAACTGCAAAGGAAGCTGGGAGATTGAGTATTTTACTATCATAGTCTCCACAGCAGAAGCCAGCAAGGGAGAAGGGGATCGGAAATCGAGATTGGTTTAGTCAGCCTGCCCGCCACTTCCCACCACTCACATCTGTAATTGCTCACAGATCTGTCAGGTTTGCATTGCTTATAGTTTTCCATGTGCGTGTGTGTATGTGTGTGTTTTCTGACTCAAGACTGAGAGGTCCCTCAAGGAGGGCCCCTGTGTCTCAGGGAATTTCCTGGGAGTCAGAAGACAGATTCAGGCCCCACCCCATCACTGACCAGTGGAGAAGTCCAGCAGTGCCCAGCAGGGAACCTTTCCAGGTTCTACTAACCCACAGACTGACGAGCCAGCCACAGGCCACACCTGGAGTTGGAGTGTCTGGGAGGCCACAGGCGGCCCTGGGCGCTCCTCCCCTGTGGACGTGGATGTGACCTGCGCTCTGTGCAGCAGCCCTCGGGCCATCCCAGGAGCTGTCCTCTCTTCAGGGAACAGCGCGGTGAAAGGAAAGGAGGCCCTCACAGTGCGGGAGTGGGAGCCGTGCTGGCATAGAAGCCTCGGCCCAACAATCTCACAGGCATAGGTTCCAGGGATCCCTGCAAGGGACAGGCCTGCCACAAGAGTCACAGCATCAGGCAAGGCCGACCCTGGCACCCCCCTCGGGTATTCAGAGGCCTGCAGTCCAGACGCAGTGCACCAGGCAGGGTCGTGTACTCTCATCAGTGTTAGTTCGTCCCTTCTTCATCTATTTCCAGGAAAACTAAGCCTGGAAAGGATTTTATTAACCTTTTGCTCAGAAATCCCTTTCCCTCTCTAGGCCTCAGTTCCCTCATCTGAAAAATGCCCTCATTTGCTGCTGGGAATTGGGCGATATCTGACCATTTGACACCTGGCAGCTGGTTCCAGAATTTGAATGCCGTTCCTGCTGCTGCAACAGCCCTTTGGCCATCTTGACCAAGCCTGCTGGCCTGTGGATTTCCACTCTAGAGAGCTCTATGAGCCTGGTCTTCTCATACTGGAAGGCCAGAGGGGGTGGCCGTGAGCCCCAGAGGCTCGCTGCTTGGCCTGGCTGCTGACCCCTGGCGCACCCCACCTCTCCTGGAGGGAAGCCCAGGGCCGCCAGCCTGGGGCTCAGCTGCCTCTCTTCGCAGGTGGGCTGTAAGCTGGTCATGGTCTTCTTCCAGTACTGCATCATGGCGAACTACTCCTGGCTGCTGGTGGAAGGCCTCTACCTTCACACACTCCTCGTCATCTCCTTCTTCTCAGAAAGGAAATGGCTCCAGGGATTTATTGCCCTCGGATGGGGTATGTTTCTCCAGGGGTACGGTGGCTGCATGCTATGTGGGAAAGGGCACTGAGGCAGAAGGAGAAGGGTGTGGGTTCCAGTTTCAGCTCTATACTTAGTTAAGTTCGTGAACTTGTGTGATCTTAGACAAGTTGCTTGATGGTTAACTCTCTGGCCTCAGTTTGTCTGTCAAATGGGAAAAAATAGCTAAAATTTGGATGCCCCAATTTCTGGCATCCAAAGCCTTTTACAGTTTGATACCCCCAACACTGTTGCCTTGTCTTCCCCAGACGTTGCATCCATACGTCCTCATTCCTGCTTCCTTTTGTATCAGTTAGGGTGCTTTTGACTGTAGGTATCAGAAAACCTGGCTTAGATAGGCTTGAAACATCAAAGAAATTAATTGGTTCATGTAACTGACAAGTCCAGGGATCACCAGCTTCAGGTGAGGCTGAATCCAGCAGCTCAACGTTTCTTTTTGTTTTTCTGCTTTGCCTTCTGTAACATCAATGTTATCATTAGGTGCTCCCAATGTAACTGCCAGCAGCTCTGGGCTTCTTCCTGGCTTCATTGTTACATCTGATGAAAGAGAGAGGCTGTGTCCAAGCACTCCTGGCAAATACTCTGAAATTCACTCTGATTGGACCAGCTGAAGTGTTATACACATCCTTGAACCAATCACAGGGGCCTGAGAGAATGGAATACACTGATTGGCTTAAGCTACTCAAACCACATAGCTTCCCAAAGGAAATTCAGGATTCAGTTTCCAGGAAGGAGGGGAAATGGTAGTAAGACAGCTAACTGCAGGCCCCATTGCTTCTCTTACCCCTTTCCTTTCTGGTCAATGAAGATGATAATAATTCTGATTTCTTGAGCACCTACCGTATGCCAGGCTTTGAGCTCAACACTTTGCATGCATTATTTAATCATCACAACAACCTCCAGAGGCCTCTTAGAGGAACCTTGGCTCAGAGACATGATGTAACATGCTCAGCTCACACTGTAGACAAGGGTAGAACCAGAATTCAAACCAAGGCCTGTCTATTTGCAAAGCCCCTTAACTCTTATTCTGCCATAAACAAACATCCATCTATCCATCCTTCCATCCATCTGTCCATCCCTCCATCCATCCATCCATCCATCTATCCATCCATCCGTCCCTCCATCAATCCATCCACCTATCTATCCCTCCATCCATCCATCCCTCTATCCCTTCCTGCCTCCCTCCCTCTCTCCATCCATCAGTTGTTCATTTGATAAACATATGTAAGTTCCCCACTGGGTTCTAGACAGTCAGGTTTCTGTGAGTGACTCACAGGCTTACAGGGGTAGTCATGTGTAGTAGCCATTAGCTTCATTTTCTTTCTTCTTGGTGCCTTTAATTAAGAAGTGCCCCTGCCAGGAGTGCCCCCCACTGTCTTTCCTGCTTGTCTAAACCCTTATGTGCAAGGGCTGTATCTCCTCATCAGACCATCAGGGAAGTTGCCTGAGCCAGCGGAGTTCACTGAGCCCTCCTGCTTCTGAACTCTGGCAGCCTGATTAGCACATGACCCTCAGTCAGCAGGAGATGTAGGGTTCTGCAGATCTGGATTTCCACATAGGCCAGTAGTTCCAGAGAGCCTGGGACAAGGGACTTGCCTTATGCTGCTAACTCTGCCGCAGATGCCCCCGGTGTCTAGCCACCTCACTGAGCCTTGACTCCCAGATCTGCCAGGATTTCCCTGTATGAACGTGGACAGTTTCATCTTCTATAATATCAGCATCATAATTTGCTGAACTTTCTTTGAGCACTTCTTTGTCCTCAGAAGGGCTTATGGAGATTACAAAAACAAAACCAAAAATGGTTCCATCGCTCCAGGGGTTTGTAGTCTAGCAAGGAGACAAAAGTGCATTGTGATAATATCTCCATCACGGGTTTTTAGGAGGTTTAAGTGAGATAATGAGAGCCTTCTTTTCTTACTCAAGTATATTTTTTAAATATTTGTTTATTTATCTGGCTGTGCTGGGTCTTAGTTGCAGCACGTGAGATCTTTAGTTGCAGCAAGTGGGATCTTTTAGTTGCAGCATGTGGGATTTAGTTCCCTGACCAGGGATGGAACCCGAGCCCCCTGCATTGGGAGCACAGAGTCTTAGCCACTGGGCCACCAGGGCAGTCCCTCTTCCTCAAATATTTATTGAGCATCTAGTATATGCCAGGCCGTGGGGACAGAGCAGCACATTAAACAGCAGCAGCTCCTTCTCTCTGTGCCTCTCTGCCTGCACAACCCCCAGGGGACATGAAGGGACTCAGGAAGGTCTAAAGCTGTCTGTCTGCGAGAGGCTCTTGTTTTGCAAAAGCAGTGGCCCCTGCCTCAGTTTGTATTCACCCCCCTCCCCAGAGATAGGTTGCTGAAATGAGTATGTGGCCACCATAAAACTCTGCAAAAAAAAAAAAAAAATTTAAGTAGGAAAAAAAATTACCATAGGCCCATCTGTTGAACATTTTCTAGGGTTTCCTTCCAGACTTTTTTTATACTCCCAGTTTTTCCCACATGGTTGCAATCGTCCTGTATGTAGAATTTTGAATCTTGCCTCTTTCCATGAACACAGAAGCATGCTCTGTATTGTTTCAAATCTTCAGTAAACATTTTTAACCACTGTGTGGATGTATGTAACCAAACACCTATTTTTTGGATGTTTAGGTTGTTTCTCATTTTTCACTGTGATAAATAACACAGCGAGGAATACTTTTATGGGCAAAGCTTATTCCATGTGTAATAGAGAATCCTGGAATTGGGACCCCTGAGTCAGAAGCTTTTACTTTTTCAAGGTGGCTGGGGTGTCAGTCTGTGCCCAGGAAAGAGTGATACCTCTGGCTTTTATAGGAGCTGCGTCAAACTCCCATTCACTGAGGGAACTCAGACTGGTGGTGCTCCAGCTGGAGCTGCGTTGGAACCATGCAGAGGGCACGTCAACCTGGTTGCCTGGGCCCCGCCCCACAGTCTCAGTCCAGTGGGCCAGCGGTGGAGCCTGAGACTCTGCATTTCTAACCAGGTCCCAGGTGACGCTGATACTGTTGTTGCAGGGACCACAGTGAGAACCACGACTTAAATCATTATCCGCTTTTCAGACTTTTCCACTGACTCACTGTTAAAGATGTAAGACAAATAACCATAAACAGGTGGCCCTCAGAATCCATGTTTGCCCAAAGTACCCAAACTGAGGCAGAGAATTTTTTTTTATCAAAGCCATACGTGTACTCGGTTTAAAGAATTAAATAGAACTACAAGTCTAAAATGAAAAAGCAAACAAAAGCAAGCAGTGTCCTGAAGAGGCTCCCACTTCTGCCACCCAGATGTAACATCCTCCAGCTCTTGAGCTTCTCCTTTTGATATCTGCTCTCATGTTTCTAAACAATATTCTACTATGTTTTGATTTGTCCATCTGAGGCATTGTTTTTTTTTTAACTGTCTATTCACATCCTTGGCCCACTTTTTAAAAAATATTTATCTGTTTATTTGGCTGCGTCGTGTCTTGTGGCACGCAGGATCTTCGCTGCAGCACGCAGAATCTTCGCTGCCGCACGCAGAATCTTTTTGTTGTGGCGTGCAGGCTCTAGAGCGCACAGACTTAGTTGGCCCTCCACATGTGGGATCTTAGTTCCCAGACTAGGGATCCAACCCGCGTCCCCTGCATTGGAAGGTGGATTCTTAACCACTGTACCGCCAGGGAAGTCCTGAGGCATTATTTGTTGACTCCTTGTGATTAAAGGGAAGGGTATAAAATTCTTCATCTGCCACCTCTATCCTCCCGTTAGAGTCTTTCACAGTTTGGGGCTAAATCACAGTATTCACTGTATACATCCTCATGTCTATGTAAATATTGTTTACTACCGAGCCGACTGGTGTACATTGATTTTACTTCCAATATTTAAGTTTTTATATTTTATGGAGTCATTTTTTAATTTAATTTTTATTTTATTTTGGAGTATAGTTGATCTACAATGTTATGTTAGTTTCAGGTGTACAGCAGAGTGAATCGGTTATACATATACATATATCCACTCTTTTTCAGATTCTTTTCCCATATAGGTTATTACATAATATTGAGTAGAGTTCCCTGTGCTGTACACAGTAGGTCCTTGTTGGTTATCTATTTTATGTATAGTAGTGTGTGTGTGTTAATCCCAGACTTATGGAGTCATTTTTTATTGACTCATTTTGTGTTGCTGTCACTAATTCTCCCACATCCTCAACAGAACTGGAAAACCCTCCAGTGCTGGTTCCCCATCATCAAATGCAACAACATGAAGTCCACTAGTTCCTATCTGTCTGGTTTATTCCTGCTGTATTAGTGTCCTAGGGCTGCTGTAACAAGTTACCACTTGTCTTAAAACAACAGAAATTTATTGTCTCCCAGTTCTGGAGGCCAGAAGTTCAAAGTCCGGTCTTGGCAGGGCTGCTTCCTTCTGAGGGCTCTGAGGGACAATATGCTCTATGCCTCTCCCCTTGTTTCTGGTGGCTGCTGGCGGTCTTTGGCCTTCCTTGCCTAGTAGGAGCCTCACTCCAATCTCTCCCTCCATCTTTACATGGTCTTCTTCCCTCTCTGTCTCCTCTGTGTGTGTATCTCACGGCCTTCTTAAAGTGATGCCAGTTATATTGGATTAAGGTCCTTATAAGTATGATTTCGTCTTAACTAATAGCACCTGCAAAGACCCTATTTCCAGAAAAGGTCACATCCTGAGGTTCTAGGGATATGAACCTTTGGGGGGGATGTTATTTAACGTGATTACACCCACCCATGTTCTTTCTAGAAGAGCCTTCTGCCCTCCTGCTCTATTTGGGCTGGTCATTCTCTAGACTTGCTCAACTCCCTTAACCTTCAGGCTGAGATTTCCTTTATTTTCCTCCACGAATTCTATTCCTTGACTTCTTGTCTGCCTCTCTTTGGTTTACTGTCAAGTCGTGTTGGAGCACATCCTCCAGTGTCTGTCTTAACAAAGAGTGCATGGAAGCTACATTTTTTTTTT